GTTTCTTGGAAATAAATTGTAGATAATTATGCAAAGTATACAGTCGACTGATTAAATGTTGTAAAAGTTTCTCTCGATAAGTTTGATAACACATTTAGTTTCTAAGTTCTATGAAAATTTGATATGAATTTAATTAATATTAATATATATTAATATATATATATATATATATATATATATATATTATACGTATATGTGTATATATATACATAATTATTTAATGTAATTTAACGTAACTTAACATAACTTTATTTTACCATAATCTCGCAACCACTTATATTTAATTATGAGTTTATATAAACTTTTTTCTTTATTTTGACAAGAGGAATACGCTATAGCAGTTTGTCCAAGTATTTCGTAAACATTATATATTAGATGTACGAGTTCTATTTATTAACTAATGTCCTCTGTTTTATTCTTCTTTTAATTTGCAAGGCCATATTGATTTCTACTTAAACGGTGGTAAAACGCAACCTGGTTGCAAGAAAAACGAAACTTCGTATATACAATATTTACCAATACCTTTAAACAGTTAGTACAAATCAAATAATCGTTACTTAAAAAAAAAAAATAGTTGTGAGACACGTTATTAAAATTTTTAGTGATACAACAGGCGATATGCAGTCACGGACGTTCCTACGAATATTTCACAGAATCATTGCTGCTCGCGATTACACGCAATTGCACTTTTTGGGGACGTCGTTGGAACTTGACGTACAGACATTTGTTGCAAACAATCGTGAATCCGTGCGACAATGTCTGCACAGAAATGGGTATTCGAGCCGAGCTTTATGACGAACGCGGAACGTTTTACGTGGCTACCGACAGTAGCAGTCCGTTTTGTAGTAAATATTATTCATATAATAATAAAATTGTTCTTAAAGTTATACTAGTACTATACTACAGTAATTTTGTTACTTTTACAGTTAACAACACTAATATCATCGAGGAAGTAAGAATGCAATTGGAACAGGATCATTATGATGAAACCAAAGATTAAAAAGATTTGTAGTCACACCATTAATTAGACAAGTTATTATATTTGTAAATAAATGCACTTCAATTTTTCATCGTGTACAGTATACTTAAATAATCGATGTATTGATATATATACAGTTGAAAATTCTCACATAGTACAAATAATATTTACAATGTCTTCGTGTTTGTTTAAACGCGCATTTCTATTATCTCTGTGCGCTTGCAAACAGTCGCGATATTCGCTATTCCAAAAATCAATTACTTTCTTATGTATCAATTACTTTCTTTACTATATATATATAAGTGATTCTATTTTTCAATAAGTTAAAAAAAGAAAACCACAAGAAACGTAGTCTTAAACATGAGATACGATATATGTATACAGCGTGCTCGAAAAATATTCAAAATAATTTAAAAACGTATCAGTAATTTTGAAAAAGAAAACTGTAGAACTATAGGAAGATGTCATAGTTACTATGTATGGAAAATAAAAGTATACTAGCTATAAAGAGTCGATATAACCCCGTGCTAGCGAAATAGTTTCGATAAAATAATATCGCAATTATTCTGTAAGCATAACCCCAGGCCGTCGTTAGACTAAATAATTATGATCGTGTCACATTTATAAATTATGTATAAAATATCAAGACGGATTTATAAAACTTTTAATTTCTCTATTAAGGATCTGCAGGAGCCACACAAGAGCAGATCCTGATTTGATTTGAGAGGCCTCGTGCGGCGAAAACTTCCGTTCCATGTGTAATTGTATGTCCATATAGATACAGATACTAATGCATCGTTTGCGCGGAACGCAACAGCTGCAAGTTAATGCAGCTAAGCTACACTTTCCATAGTATTTGTAACTTGACATATTTTACCTTATAGATATTACATTTACTCAACAAATAATTTTTTATTTCTTCCTTGCATTAGTGCGAAAAGAGCTACAAAGTCCGATTTTACATTTAAACCCTTGAAAATTTGTAATAAATTAATATATAGGCTCATGCTGCACCACAAATTTTTAATGTTCATTCAATAATTTATTCGGTTCTTTTTTGACCTTTAAAAAAGAAAAGAAATCTATAGCATTCTGCAGACGTTTCTTCTGACTACAAATATCATAAATATAAGATGATTTTCTCCGTATTTTAATCAAAATTTGGGAAATTCCTTTGCCTATTTCGCAGCTCTCCGCGAGAGATCTTCACTATGACTCCTGCAAACCCTTAAGATACTTTAGTACTTGGTTCTTTTTTATTTATTACACGTATATATGAAAAAATACGTCGTTTATAGCAACGCAAAATCTCGGTGCAACTTTTCTGCGTTTTTCAAATATACTGTATATCTTTAACAAGAATGTATAGATATAAATTTCATAAAAAATATACCCGATATTGTATAAAGCTCAGAATCGAGCTTTCTCTTTCTTTCACATTCTCGGAGCGTTATAAATAAACTAATTGTAGCAAAACAAATAATGTAAATATAAAATATGCGCTAATAACAAGGACACGATTAAGAAACATCCGCGAAGTGTGTGTCTCCAATTTCGATGAAACTTGGCATATTTATAGAACAGCCAAAAATAAGAGACCCATATTTTTTATTGGCAATAACTGTTTTGTTGACGATTAAAGCTATTTTTTCTTAATGTAAAAGCCCATTTTATTTTTTATAAAAAACCGTACAATTTGTGTTTAAAAAGTCTTTTTTCTATCTCTAACGTTTACAGAGATAGCAAAAGTGGATGGGGGTGAAACTTTAAAGGATAGTTTCACTCCTTAAACTTGAGCCATTGCCGATAAAAAATGGATCGTTTATTTCTGGCTATTTTATAAATATGCCAAGTTTTATCGAAATCGGAGATACACACTTCGCGGATGTTCCTTGTAAAATAATTCCGCTTGCACGGAACATTTCAGTGACCATCTCGCATGTGATAGTATATAACTACTATTTGGTACTAATTCTCCAGTCGTTCTTCTACAATACCCGACTTGCGCGTGTAGAATAACCGTTACCGTCGGTCGCATGAAACGTTATTGGCACATTATAATACTCTTATCTAATTTTTAGCGAAGCCAAACAGAAGCTACTGCACGAGAAGACCTGCGCCATCACACATGCGGGATCCACGAGCATTAACGAGCATTACGCTGAATGTATTCGACGATACGGTATCTCGTTTAAACGTATCAATGAATGACTTGGACGTAAGTGGCAGGAAATATGCCGGTGCGGCCTCTGCACTCACCTATCCACCAGCCGTCCGCCTGCTTTTGATGGACGGTTATCAAATCGCCTGGATTGAGACTCAACTCGTCGTTCAGATTCGCAGAATATTGATAAATCGCACGACATTGCTCCGCACGCTCGGTCTTTACCGTCACCTCTGCACCATCGACGTCTTGATTATTGTTGTCTTCTGAATGGCTGCTAAACTCGTCGAAGTCGCTGAAGTCGTCCTCGTCCGGAGGATTCTCGGAATTGCCGTCACCAGCCGTACGATCGGCCCAGTCGCGTGTATCGGCATCTTGATCCTTCGTTAACTGCATCTCCAGTTCGTCATCGCCGTCCTGAATCTCAAAGGATTCGTTCTTTGCCCAAGAAGGAATCTGGAAACACAAAATGTCATGGAGTTTTCCATAATATTCCTTTTATCCTGCACTCATACGTTGAATGCAATATATCGAATTTTCAGCTTTCAATAGAGCGTGTGTACAATACTATATTAAAATAAAGCTCAGTATTAAATAGTCAAATTTTTCTCTAACTTCTCTATTTTCCAGTTAGGTAACATACTTTATTCAATACTCTCTCAGAGTAGTATTTTATACTTATTGATAGTTAATATATTCACATACTCAACATCATAAAATATATAGAACTTTGATTATTTCTTTTCGATAAATTATTTATCTTTTCGATAAATGGTCATACCTTAAGAACACTTTGCTGCAAGCCCTGCTTGTCTCTCGAGACCAAAATATGATCCGATAAGGGATGCTTAGCTCGTTTACTACCCTCAACTTCCGCAAGCGTACCGCTGACCTTGTATCTGGCCGCCTCCAAGTACAGCAACATCGAGCGCATCTGCAGGAAGAGATAACAATTAATGGTATAGTAATTGCAACTGACGATAGGTTATTAGTAATCAATTTAAAGTTGTATATATCGAAGACGAAGAAAACTTACATGATGTAATTTATCCGTCACATTTTGCGTGCTTTCATCTGCAGCGAATGCTGGTGTTTTGATGAAAGCCCGATGTAACGTCTCTAATCCTTCACGACCCCGCTTCTCCCTGTCTAAATCCTGCCTTATTAAATGCAACACCCTCACCAAAGACTGCTTTCGTCGTTCACGATTCATCGCTAGCGTGACGTGCTCGGCGTAAAAATCGGGCAGTAACTGTTCCGCGTTCGTCGCGTCGTTACTATCTATTCGGCGTATGAGATTTTTTAGGATTTCGATATCTTGCGGCACATTACAGCTGCGCACAGGTGTCTGCAGACGATCGGCACTCTGAAGATAAAAACGTCTTATAGTCAATTTAAATTCGTAATTTTTGCTTTTACAACATTCTTATTAATTACTGACAATAACGTCTGTCGGCTTCCAAAATTAAAATAAAAAACAGAAGTTCGCTTTACAAAACAACCTTCTAAGACAAATTAAATATATAAAATATAGAAACATTTACAAAATGGAAAGGAAATTTTCTTTCTAACAAGTGACACGTGTGCAAACTTTCGCGGAAAGACAACTGATTCGTCTCAACAAATCGCAAGATGAGTCATCATAAAGCGACATATTCAGTCTCAATACTTTCTTATAATCAATCTTCCATCATCGTATGCAATGCGCATTACCTGTTGCAGTCGCGGCGCAAGCGCTTGCAGATGTGCCAGATATACATTGGCCAAATCCTTCAAAGCACTCAGCCGCTCCTCTTCCAGCAACTCCATTTGCTTCGCACCCTTTCTGACGGTGCTCTCGTACTCCAGTCTGGCCCTCTCTGCTCTCACGCTCACCGTGTAAAACTCCGTGTCGGCCCTTCGCGACGAGTCCTCGGCCTTCCTCCGTCTAGTTTCCAGCTTGCTTGCTTCCTTCTCTGTCATGTGATGACTCGACGACTTGGTATTGTTATTCTGCTGACTTTGACTGATGGTCTGCAGCCGCGCCAAGTCCTGCAGCCTCTCGTTCTCACGGGCGCAAGCGAAACTGTGCTTCTTGCTCTTGGACGCGATCCCGCGCCACTCCTGAAGCGCCTTGGACGCTTTGTCCACCGAGTTCTCAATGGACTTCCTTGACCGGCCCTGAGCTTCAGCTACGCCCACCTGAAACAAACGCGTTCTTTCACTAATCACGATACCACAAAGCTTTGCTTCTTACCACTGCGAGAAATATTTTTCGCAGTGATAATCTTCGAGATATGTGTCGATATTTAACAAATATATTATTACTTGTCTACTACTCTCTGCGTCAAAATTTTTGCAAAGAGAAAGCTCAAAATCCGCCAAATTGAAATGTGCGTAAAAAAATGGTTTAAACATTATCTTATATGGGAAGTTATTAACCGAACATTTACAACTTGATATTTCCTCGTCGATTAAATATGCATGAAGATAAATCTTCAAGGAGATACATTGTATCGACTCTCACAAGATAGTAATTAACGACTGAATGGCAATAAAAGCTAAATTGCAGTTAATTGTATGTAAATTTTATGATGTAAGTTTTTTAATATTTACTTAAATAATATTTATAAGATATCTTTTATATATATATGTATACATATATATTATATGTATATATGTATGTGTATATATATATATATATATATATATATATATATATATATATATATATATATATGTATAATATATAATATTTTATTGAATAAAATTGAAGTTTTTCTAATTGCTTTTGCGTTGATCAATTGATACATACTATTACTGGTTAAATAAAGCAAAGGTCAAAAGACTCGCGCATTGTTAAATGCGGTTCTTATTAATCCAATTGTCGGCCACATAGATAAATCTTCGTTTCAAAGACATAACTTCATTAGTCGAGAGTGGTACTTCCTACTTTGACGCGATTTTTTACAGTGATCTCGCTTCAGACCACGCAGCGTTACGTAAGCACAATTGCGCGCCGAGTATGACGTCACTCTTTCCCTCAGAGTCCTCTCGCGCGCTTTTGCAATATGCGACGTGTAATTATCTGCCGTAAGTTACTCGGACTTACTCGGAGCGGTTTGGCGAGTTGCTCGCTGAGCGCGATGCCCCACACCCTGTGGGCTTCCGCGGCAGCCTCCATCTCTTCACCGACACACCTCCATGCCTCGTTCACACCTCCGCTACTATTACCACCTGCGTTACGAAAGACTTTCAGAAGACGATCTTTTATATGACCAGTGCCTAATATCTCATTGATATCGATACTATTGATTATGCAATTGAAGAAAAAGTGAAAAAGAATTCAATCTAGTACTTTAATTTTGTTACTGAATGTTTGTTTGTTTAAATTTTCGTACGCTAAAAATATTACTTGTAATGATTGAATCAGATATTTTTGTGACGGAACGATCAAAACTTGTGTGGAATATTAATCGATCGCGAGTAATATTCGCTAAAGAACGAATTCGCGAAGAAAGTAGGATCAAAATTTAACTTTCGGCTGTGCATAGAACTAAACGCACCAATGTGATAAACGGTATAAACATTCGCGCGATAGTAGGTCACTTATTAATAATATGATAATTACCTTGATCCTTGGTGCATGCCTTCGTTAGCTTACTACTGAGTTTACTGAGTCCTTTGGCGTAAGTAGCTTCCAACTCGGCCCTAAAATCACATTCTCGTATTATTTTTACGTTTCTGAAAATCGCTCGTGCGAGTAAACGATGACATAGACAGGCAAATATAATACCTTTCATGAATAATTGACGCCAGTTCCTTGCAAAAGTCGCCTCCCTGTTTGACGTATCTTCGCACGTCCTCGAAACCGCCTTGTCCTCCCTGCACGCGACAGAAGACTAAATTAGAATGTTGCGCAACGAGACGAGTAGACGCTGAGATTGGTTTATGTTTTACAATGTGTATGTTAGAAGAAACAAGAAAAAACAAGAACTATTACAGCGTCCCGCTATTCTTTCAACTTTTCCCCAGTAGGAGTTAAGTTAGCAAAGTAGGTTTAATTCTAATGATCCAATTTACTTCTATTTTGACTCTGATGATGTCAAAAATTTCCCTTTCCACTTTCTTTAGTGTTAAAATAGGAATAGTGTTCAAATAGTTCAGAATATCAAAATGAAATAATGAAGCTGAAAATAAGATCAAATTTTTGACTCAAGTAGATTAAATAGAATCAAAAGAGGTTGATATAGGCTTCAAAGTATCAAAATAGATGTTGAATGGAATAGTAAGACTACAAATAGGATTAAAATATTGACTCGGATTGTCACAACAATCTTAATGTTCGCGCTAATAAAAGGAGTAAGGTGTAAAGAGAATTTTTACGGAAGTATTGAACAGTAAATAAAGCGAATCAATAAAAATAGTATTATTTTAACGATTATATAATTAGATTTCGATTATGTATATTGATTAGTTAACGAAAAATTCGGTCAAAAGATTGACATCTCGTCTGGTTTCGATTCGTGTAAACAATTCGCACGCGATCTTAAATTGACGCGAAAAGCAGAACTAATCTTTTAATTCGTGCAACGATCGAATACGCGATATTAAAGCTGCAAAATCTTTTTCTCGTCTCGTTCAGTTCCACGCTTGAATACATTCAGCCCTCGAGGAAAACGCACGAAATAGCGGTAACCACGCATCGCGGCTCACCAGATGCAACACTCGCATTGAATTATACGATGGCTTCTTTCGTGCGGCCACACTAAAGCAACCCACGTTCCTTTGCTCCACATGTTCTTTGTTCATGCTCACGTGGAAGTGGAATTCGGTAAATAACAGATATAGTTTGCTGATGTGCAAGAATCTGTTACTACCATCTGTTACTAAGTTCTTGAAGTTTTAAGATAAGAAAGCGGAATTTCTCCCGACGATCGATTAATTTCGTATGAAAGACACAAAAAAGTGGGAAAAAATAGAATTAAAATAAAAATTTCGAGAATTAAATAAAAATTTTAATGGGAGAAATTACTTAAGAAATGTCATTAAATTTAAGGAGAATGACTTCAGAGGAGTATTAATGAAAGATAAAAATTAAAAATATAAATGCAATAAGACCGCGCTGTCTGTCAAACACAACTGTAATATGAAATTTCTTATAATGTTCGCCGCTTATTATCATGCTTATTAACATTTTTCTGTCATTATAGCAGGTAGGTTGCTTTAGTCGCAGTAGAAGGCCGGTGCATGTCATTATCCACTCATCCAGTCATTCGCCTCATTGCTGTTATGCGTTCGCTTAGCTTTCTCGTGTACTTGTTGCACGAGATTATCGCGAACGGTACTTATAAAGTTGCATAAACGGTACTAATCCAACCATATTTTGTTTACAAAGTACGCCGGTTATGCAAACGCGGCCGGTCGAATTGCAAGAAGTATTACTGATCTCTATAAAGAAATCCGCTTATACATATTTTGGAGTTAGCATTCCTACTCTTTTTGTCCCTTTAAGAAAATCATTCTACTGCATTGTTTCTCTTCCATTTTTAAATAAATAAAATATGATTCCAGTGATAAATTTCATAATAAATTTTGCATCTTGAGCTTAGCATTCTTATTCTTTTTATTTCATTCAAGAAGAATTCTATTGCACATACACACACATTCTTTCTCTCATTTTTAAAATAAATAAAATGTGATTCGAATAACAAATTTCATAATAAATTTCCGAGTTGTTTTAAATAAATAAATAAAATAAAATAAAAAACTGATTCTCTTAAAGAGAATACTTCAATCGAATACTTTGCGTCTCAGAATTATCGAATTTTAACATTTTAAGCTATACATTTTATTTCTCAACAAAGTTTTTTTCAAATTTGGTATATGGAAGATTTCAAGTCTCTGATTACAATTTTGAGATGAAAAAGTAAAAATTCGAAATGTGTATGTGGTGGATCCAATATAGCGACCATAAGTTTTGAAAATTAACAATCTGGTTTTTAACATTATACATTCATTATAATAACAATATCTCCTCGATATGAATATTTGCGTTTTTGATAAAACAACTTGCAGTAAATATTATCAATATTATAATAATTATAATATAATAATTATAGTTTTTTATAATAGTTTATTGTAAAAAATAGGGCTTACAGGAAATTTAAAAAAAAAGTGTAAAATACTGTTGTTCTTAATAAATTAATATGTTAATATTTCAATGTGTCGATTTTTAATAGTTAATCCAAAAATGATTTTTTGTCAGAAAAAAGTATTTTTCTCTTACTTTTTTTTGTTTGCTTATAATAATCTAATAATTCAACATTAAAATTATTTTTTATTTATTTTTAGTTCTTACGTTTATAAAGATGTATAGTAATAATATAATCGACTTTGTCTCGACAAAGCATATTCGTAGTGTATTCATTGAATACTTCGAGAAACGCTCAGCCTTTAGGTGACAAATGAACCACGGAGCGGTGTTATTGTTCCCGTTTAGTTTTTTTGTTTCGCCATAAAAGCAACGTGAAAGTCGGCATCGCAAACCCGTAAAATTAGCAATTAGGTACAACAACGTTAAAAGGCGGCGGACCCGGTTAGTCTGGTGGTAATTAGGCTCACAAAATTTTGATGAAAGTATCGTCATCGCGAAAGCAGAATAACTGTCGACTATCCCGCTCCATGACTGGCATGTGGAAAATCCAAAATGCGCAGACAAAACGCGCGAGTGTTATTTCGTTTCGACCACGCCAAGTTACCAAACTCTTTTGTATTTTAATGCGGCCGCGCCTATCCGACAGCGTTTCGATTACTTCGCCGACGAAACTCGGAGAAAGGAAGCTTCTTTTCTATCAAGACTCATCCCAGACAGCGGACGAAATGATAAAATCGCGAGATACCAGTTATAATGGAAAGAGGCTTTTGTCCATTTGCGGCTGAAACGTTCCCGCGACTATCGGATGACGGTCTTTCTTTTTTGTTAGCGGATTGTTCGTTGACTGGCGCTTGATACAAATTAAAGTTTAATCGCTACCCGAGGCGATAGTAGGTGAAAGTGAGTATCAAATAGTCGGGTCTCAAAAGAAGGCCGAGAGAGCCGCACGGTAATTAATACAGTCCAGATGAGGACGAGCGAATTACGCGAATTTGCTGTGAGATAAAAACCAAAGGCGAGGAAGAAGTCAAAGAGAAGTGATAACGATAATACGGTGCTTCATTAGATCGACTACGCGGCGAATATAATCAACGGTATCGTGCACGTCGCGCACTATACAGACCGAAAAACATGAATCGTTATGTTCTAGGAGGTACATAGTCACAAATTTCGGGAAATTGAGTTTTTAGCGGATTTCCCATCTACAAGCAAAAACACCAGCTTCTTTTTGAAACACTGGTTTTGCAAAGAAAAAACAAAGAAATGTAAAATATTGTATTTTAAAAAGAACATAGTTCTTACAAACCTACTGTAATAAAAAACGACAAGTTTATACATTTTAATCGTGATCATATAAGTCTCGTTTTATGTAAACATCTCCTTCCATCTACATCATTCCTTTCTTACTTCCAGTTTTATATCAGTCCAATTTAGGTTTGATATATATTAATTATATATAAATTTATATATACAATTATATACAAATTATATATAAATTTATAGTATATTTTTATAATTATAAAATTATATATAAATTTATAGTTATATTTATTTTCTTTATATTTACCTCTTATGAGATGACAAATATATCCAAATATACCAAAATGAAAGAGAGAGAGAAGAATAATAAAAATATAATTATTCTAAAAAAAGCTGAAAAGTCTATCACTTTAGAAAATTCACTACATTAACTGGTGAGCATAAAAATCATTTTCAATTGTCAATTTTCACAGACAATGTAATTAAGATTCCTTTATTTGTCAAAAAAATTAATCTCTGTTGATTTCAGCAATACAGAATTTTCAGACATTTTTTGTGTTTTTTTCAAAATTAGTGTAGATGGACAAAGTATCCCTTTTAGAATATGGCAATCCAGGTAGAATTTACCGTTGATCGTGAATTTGTTATTTGCGAATTTGTAATTGTGAGAGCGATTCACACTCGTTGCCTTCCTATGAAGTTAGTGGAGCGTGACGTATTAAATGTGATTGGCGATTGTCAGTGGAGTGATTTCCGTGTTAGTCTTTTGCATCGATAATAGATCGTGTATGCACGTGGATCGCATGTCTTGCGAATCGTGAGAAATGCACGTGGATCCATCCACGATTTGCAAATTTGAACGAGGACATTGATGTCATTTCATGATGTAAAAAGGAAAAGTACGTTTTGTGTTTCCTTAAATTAATTTCAAAATATAAATCACACAACAAATGTCATATATTCTGTTAACGTCAGCTATTAATACCTACTAATAACTTATTATTAATAGGTATTAAAAATTAATACCTATTAATAACTTATTCGTCGAATTAATAACTTATTCGTAAATTCATGCTGCATAATATTCATTTTCTCATATTTATACTGAGAGAAAAAATTACGTAAGAAATAAAAAATTTTACTTGTGTGGGATAGAGGTACTATAATAACTATTTATTAATTTAAAATATTTTTCAAATAAGAAAATATATATTTTCTTCAAACTTTAGCCTTTGAAAGTAATTGTTTATTTTATCTAAATAAAAGAATTTAAATTTATATATATTATAGATAAATATATTATTAGTATCTACGGAATAAATATTCTTTTATTTTTTAGATATTTCCTTTTTCAGTGTAAGTTTAAAATTTATTCAAAATATATTCTGAATCTTAGTAAGTTTAGTATTTAAAAATCAAGAACATCGAATTAAAAAAAACTCGATTTGCTTTACCTCACAGAGCCGAA